TGGTTTGCCTTGACCTTGGTGGTTTCCCAAATGTGAAGCTTTCACTAACGCATTTCCATACGTCCCAACGCAGCCGAAACCGTGGGAATACAACCGTGGACACTCCGAAACTTCCGCACTCTCGTCTTTGTCGATTGGACAGTAGCTGAGCTTTCACAATGGCCGCGCTCAAGAACCCATGGATGTTCGACGTCACGTCTCTTATGATTCTTCTCGGCGAAAACGAGGAGAATGCGTTCCGATCCGCAAGAGACACTCATCTCGAGACATTGGTTGCAGCTCCTGTCGCCGGAATCCTAAGCTATCTGAAGTTCTACGATGGTGTGCCCGGGACCTCACGTCCAATCTACCTGTCCCCTTACGGATGCAAATCGGCACCTCTTCGAAACCTGAAACTAGAGAATGCAATCAGAAAACACAGGATGCTTGAGAATGGAAAATACAACACATGGGAGATCCAAAGTCGCCAAAAGCATAGGAAACTCGACATGTTCCGTTTTCTCTGGCTCGTCTTCACTTGGCTATGGTTGGGTTGTTTGCTAGTTGTTTGGCGTATTGCACCTTTTGGAGTCCTGCCCGGTGGGACTTGGGTTGGGGTTACGAACATTATCGTCCTTTCTGGATGGTCAGTCATCGTCCGAACTATCGAACTCGCTATGATCAACTTCCGCGAAGAAGAGCGGAAGAAAAAAGCAAGAGATGTTGGTGATGATGCTGCCATCTTTCTAGGAGAAGATAATTCAGCATTCGTCATCAGGGGATCTCGCTGGGAAATCAAGAGTTGGACTACCGTCAACAGACTGGACTTCAGTAGCGGAACAAGTTATGGAATTCCGAACAGATTGATTCAGCATTTCATAAGGATCGGCACAATATTCGTGCTTTTACTTGTCTTTGTTACTGTCCCGAATGGTTCCACGACCGATCAGCTCATCTTTATTCTTTTGAACATATTAAGCCAAGTCAACGTATTCTTTGGACTTGAGCTCAACGCCATATGCTGCATGCGAGAGTTGAAGGGGAAGCCGCCCAATCCAAACACAGCTGTGGCGCCTACGAACCGGCCTCCAATACTGTCTAATAACCGGACACAAATATATGGAAACCTTCTCCGTTACTTCAATCCCTTGGGGGTGGATAGTGAGTGGGTGAAGAAGACTGGCATCTTGCCGCAGACGAAAGTCTGGAATATATGGGCGATGAAAGTTGTGCATACCACGGGGGATCCGAAAGTCCTTTACAAGGACATAAGCACCGCGCAAGCCGGGTAACTAACAATACTCTTTCTCATGACTTCTACATGCTAACATATACAGTCAAACTCACCGGACCATGACCGTGTAATCGTTGTCCTACGCATCTCATGAGCTATAACTTACAAGAGGCCTTTAGGCACCTTTCGAATTCTTTCGTGGAATGAAAAAAGAAAATCAAGCAAAGTCTCCACTGCCTAGGCCGTGTGCATTCTCTTGGCGGTAGACAGTGAAGCAGTACGTGCACTGGTTTGGCTCCTACGAGCGAAGATAATCTGCAGCATGGTAAGTTCACGAAGTACCTAGGTACAAAGTCGGTTATCGACACGATTTGACATGGCTCCAGCAAGGTCTATCAAGAACGGTCTGCGTTGGGAACCACTCAACCCTGCGCGGCGATCAATTCATCAAGAGCTATCGTAGCCTCGATCGTAGCATCTACGGCCTTTTGGTCCGAAAGTCTTCCAGATTGCCTGAAGTTTTGAACCCGGCCCCTCCAGAATCGCAGTCGTGTGACATCCACTGCATTGGTACCCCTTTCAGCCTCCCATAGACTGCCAGGAATGTAAATGTAATTGGTGGAAGGAGACCCTGTAGCCATCACTTGTTTGCCCGCAATCACCAACCAAGCCGCCGCTGCGCGAACTGCAAAATGAGCTAAGATTGTAAACGCATAATCGACACAACTGCGCAGCTGAGATGCTTGTGGCGGATCTTGTCGTGCTATCAGTGCGGAGAATGTGTTGACGTTGGTGTACATGTCTTCGGATTCACAAAATGAGAGCTGGTCATTGTCGTGTTCATTGCCAGAGACCTGGCGGAACTGAAAAGACTCGCTACGCAGATCGTCCCCACCTGAATCCAAGAAATGCAATATCTGCCTTTGATGGCGAAGTCGGCAATGCTGAGACGTAGATCTTAAAGCGCCGGTGTTGAGGCGTCCATGTTCCGTGTTCGCCGAGGGCCAGGTCTCTCAGATTACCCCGCCGTAGCCCTGCATTACCTAGGTGGCGACTGTCTCAGGTAGCAGCCTAGAAAGAACATCGACTCGAGTTCTTCATTTCCACTATGAATCATCAAACTTGATCCATCCATTCAATCGATCATCATCCACGACCTTGGTTTACGTCAACCAAACGGCCCGACTTGGACCACACCTGGGAACGACCGGAGGCGCAGCAACATCTAACGAGCAGCAGCCAAAAGTATTAGCCTTGACACGCTATATGCCATAATATTGACAGTTGGATCAAAAGCGAGGCCTGGAGCGCTCTTGCAACGATGCTTTGTCACAAGTGTCGCAGCATACACTTCAAACCCTATGAAGTCTGTCCAACCGAACTGCGGGAAGCGGCGAGAAAGTCACCACTCCCGTCACTATACTATTTACATTCCCAAGACGATGCTTGTCTAGCACAGACTGCAAACTCAGGCTGTGCTTTCTGTAAGACTATCGAGCTCCGTATCTCGATGGATAGGGGAGTGCAGGGTGAGACGTGCGTCGCTGGCGATCAGATCGTCCTTGCGATCTATGTCCATGACAACAGCCCGAAGTTTGGCACTATATACTTCGGATGTCTTATAATGTACAGTCGCAAATGCAAGTGGACCTTCCAATGTGAGAAGAATCTGCCAGGTAAGACTCTCTGACTATCCTTCGCAAATCCTAACTGACATATTGTTGTCCGCAGTCACCTTCCAGAAGTCCTTAATGGCGCTAGCTCGCCTAGATCCTGCGACTACCGATAGTAACGCTGAAGATGACACATACTCGTACTGGAAGGATTCTTCGACACTTTCGGAAGCAAACATGGAACTTGCGTCAACCTGGTCTAGTTCATGCTTGAATCAGCATTCTCGCTGCGGTATTGACACAAATTATACCGCCCCTACGCGCCTCATTCACGTTAAGGGACCACAAGATCTTGCCTTGGAGGTCAGTGGGGGTAGGATCCTTCCGTATCTTACCCTAAGCTACAAATGGGGCGACTCGAAGAAATATCGCACTCTAGCTGAGAATATCGCCGATCATGGCAAGAAGATTCCATTTGAAGCCCTTCCGAAGACTTTTCAGGATGCTGTGTGTGTTACACGTCGCCTTGGCTTCGAATACCTGTGGATAGATGCACTTTGTATCATACATGACTCCCCCCAAGACTTGCTAAAAGAGATCAGCGAAATGGGAAGCATCTATCAAGCTTCAAAGATAACACTGTTTGCAGAAGCAGGGGATGATGCCGATGCTGGACTGTCCGTTTCACGAGATCCTCGCTCGTCGAAACCCTGCATATTGGATTTCAGAGCGACTCTCGATAGCCATACGGTGGAAGCGTCGAGATACGCTTGTTACAACCCGTTCAGCGAGCTCGAGTTCCCACCCGCGCCAGCGTCTATATATCAAAGAGGATGGGTTCTGCAAGAGGAGGTTCTGGCACAACGACTTCTCAAGTTCGGGGCTCGTCAAATCAAATGGGAATGCCGACATGGCGCTTTTTGGGAGAGTTTGCCTGATGAAGATGACCGCAGCGCTACGTTGAACTCCACACACTCTGAACTACGTTCGTGGATGTACGACCGTCAGGTTCCTAAGGATCTGGACGGGCGGGAAGGAAGAGAAATGTTCATGCGCTGGGGCGAACTTGTTGAGAACTACTGTAAGCGCTCGCTCACCTACGTGAACGATGTTCTACCAGCGATTGCCGGTATTGCGAGTGTCTTTTCGAGGCACAATCAACTTTCATACATCAACGGGATCTGGAAAGAAGAATTCCCTCTGGGACTACTTTGGAATGTGGATGATGGTCACGAAACAGATGCATCACATCGAGCTCGTCCGAAAGTTGTTGATATAACGGACGCTCCCTCCTGGACCTGGCTATCAAAGTGGGGTGAGCCCATTGAATTTCAGCATGAGCAGCTGTCACGTGAACTTCGCACAGTCATGATCGATCAATTGGACCATTCTCATGATAACATCGATGACACAAATCGCAGTCGAGACCGAACACCTTCGGATCAATTCATCAATCTTCAAGCAGTAGATGCGAGACCACTCCCACTTCGAGGTTATCTCATTAAGGGAGATGTACAGCTGGGTAGTTGGTCACCTAGGTTACCGACTGCATGGGGACGCTGTGTTACTACGCATGACACCCGGGAAAATATAGGGCTTTTCTTTCCTGATTCAGATCCATTCAAAGAGCCAATACTTGAGATCACATGTTGTCTCTGTATCTTGAGTGAAACTGTTGGGGTAGGCTTCTTTACGTATTGGTGGTTAGCTCTGGCATCTACATCTCGACCTGACGTCTACAGACGAGTCGGTATGGGCCGGGGCACGAATGATGACAAAACTCAGGGCTTGCGATCTTTATGGGAAGCTGAGGGCAAAGCGACGTTCACTTTGGTGTGAGATAAACAAGAAATGCACGATTACTTTTTCCAACGTACGAGGGGCGCAGGTGGCGTGGCCTCGCCCTGCGCCTATCCTCGGCCTCCAACTCGCAGACCAATCCATCTCTTGATTGTGATGCACGGTGAAACAAGTAGAGGTTAGTACTTTCGCAAACTTGAATATACTCTGCAAGGGCTCATTTCTACGTCAGCGCTCTTAGAGCCGACAGGATCTGACCCCCATGCCTTTCAGGCGTCCACGGGTTCCCGCAGTCCTGCGATCCTACATCGCCTGCGCGCATCTCACGCTTATTCTCTGCCAACAATCGCTCGCGCAACACAGAACGAGCGAACATGGCGACACAAGAAGAGAGCCAGATGAACCACTGTAAAGAATTCTTGCAGAAGTTTGAAAGATGGGCAGATCCGACCTGGGGCTTCTTCGTTTACGGCACCTATACGCGCACACAAGGCCAGGAAGTCTCGAACGAAGATACAGATAAGGAAGACAGAGCAGGTCAGTGGAAAAGAATGCAGCCTATCGAGTGCAAATATTGATGAACAATAGATGCGACCGATGATGATGCCCACTTCCAAGCAGTGATCCGCAAAGTCTACGCCCACGCAACAGATAACCTGCGTTACAGCAACCCCGCGCCATACAACCAAAAGATGATAGACATCTTACGTCTTGAGCCTGCTGCTTATATGCCTGGCGCGTCGCTCGACGTCGTCTGCAGGCATTTCCGCCAGCATTATGCTCAAAAGGTCTTCCCGGAGACAATGGGTGAACCTGGGCCTCCTGCAATACAGGACGACATTCCCGATGAGGAGAAACTCGGTCCAAAGTGGGCCTGGTGTATAGTCATCGATGATGAAGCTCTTGAGAGTCTGGAGAACGGCCCCGAACCCGTAGGAGATGCGCCGCCGGAAGGCGTAAATCCTCTCAAACTAGCATACAATGCTAAAGAAGCATTTGTAAAGTTACTATCTGGGATGAAGACGACAATGGAGGGGCCTGAAGTGATCGCTGCGGCAGGTCGTCCAGGTAGTGGATGTCCTCAAACAGTGTGGAATGGATGGCTTAAGTTCTCGCCTGTGGATCTTATGGGTGTTTGGATTCAGGCGGAGAGCAACGGTATCATTGATCAGTTTTACGGGGAGGATAAGCTTTTCGACTGGTAATCGTCGAGGGTGATGTGCGGCATGATGCGATGACAGCTTGGGTACGTACACTTGGCACTCCAATCGATCAAATCAGATCCTCCAGGCAACCATCCTTCGTTCCCAAAAAAAAAGCCGATATATCCGCACTCACCTACATCATCATGGTAGAGCCATGGGAAGACTGACAAAACATTCACAATGGCGCATCAGATATCGTTGACTTCGGTATGAGACAATCCAGTGAGCGCGTATCCGCGGCGATGCTGACTTTCAAAGGGCCACAAATTTCATTCAGATGTAACAATGCTGACATGCCCTTGCACCTTCCTAGTGGCCGTTACACCAAGATTGTCGATCATCATGAGCTATGGGGCACCTTCAAGCCCCTGTATACAGCTGCATACACAACTCACGCCTAATCAAATCCATCTCATCCAGTCCCACGAAGATTTCGGCGAAGTACGCATCCCAGTCAGCGAACTCAACCTTGCAAGTTTCCTCCGCAACCAGATCGACCTTGAGGCTCCATCAGAAGAAGCGCAGACGGTATCGAAGCTCGTTGCCAGACTGCGAGATGTAAAGGCTACCGATGATGACGACAGTGACGGTGGCGATGGCGTTTTGGTCCACATCCTAAGCTTTACAGTCCTTGGTGATCAGAGCGGGGAGCTGGTTCCAGAAGGTCGCATGCTACTGTGGAAGTGGGCTAAGCCTCAAAGCCAGTATCGGAAGACAGGCTTCTGGGGCCATAGCTTGACACAGGTCCTGGTCGATGCCGAATGGAATACTGGTAAAGATGTCACGATGTACGTGAAGGCTGTTGAAGAGGAGGAGTATGAGAGAGTGTTGAAAGGTGAGATGAAGACATAAGCGGCGTTCACTTGAGATGAGACCGGGTAGCGTAAGGTGTCGTGATGTGAGACACCTGGATGTTGAGACGGAAGGAAGGAGCAACGGTGCTTTCTCAGACAGCTCGTTCTTGGATGGCGCTATGCTTGATTAGTGTTAGGCTCACCACGTGTCGAAGGAACGTTTCTTCCACCGTCATGCATTTTCAGTTCATGACTGAACGGCAAAATGATGCATACAACACTAATACAAGCGTTGTCTATGAGCCTTTAATCAAGAAAGGACCTCATCTGTACATCCAAAACCATCTAAGCGTGTTCAAAAACGTAAACAAAAGCACATCCCTCGTCATCTCTCCAAACCAGACGCAAATACCCACCTCACGAACCACTACTACGCTTCCGCAGCAGCGGCATCGACGGCATCTTCGTCAACCGTCTAACCTTCGCCAACGCCTTCGGACTTGGGCTCAGGCTCGCCGTCGGTGTCTTATCCTTCATCGCGTTCTTGGACTCCGCAAGGACCTCACCTGTACCAGACTTGTGTGGCACGAGGAAAGAGTCGAACGTTGTCGCTGGGTTAGCGCGGAAGAGAACTTCTTGGTTCAGAGGGCTGCGTACATGGTTCGAAGAGCTAGACGATGACGGGCCTGATGGGCTTGCTAGAGGCGATATACGACGGGTGTTGTATGCGCTTGTGCGGGGGCTGGAGGGCTGGTAGAAGTAGTCTCCGCTGCTAGCTGCACGAGCGTGTGAGTAGCGACGGTTGCGCGGCTCTTCGTACTCCTCAGGTTGTGTATCTAGTGTTGACCGAGGCAGCGGAGGTGGCAGCATAGGAGAGCGCAGGTCATAGGTCGACTGGGAAGACTGCCAAAATTGTGTGCGACTGTGTTCTTCATCCTTCGTACTGTCAGTTGTTTTCCTAATCCGAGGTATGTGCACCTTATTACGCACCTTCTCCTTCGTCTTGGGAACAGCGCGCTGGCTTTGCTGCATCTCGTGGTCAATGTTCGCGAGCGCGATCATCTTCTCTTCCAAGGGCATGGCCTGAGGTATCAAGCCCCTGCGATCCCCATGGTGAGTGAAAAGGCGCTCGTCCGACCACTCTTGGAGGTTGTGGTTCTTCTCGCCTCGTGCGAGCGCTTTCAGGTCCTCTACAGACAGCGCCTGAGCGTAGTAGCGTGGTTTCGGCGCGGGTTGCTCCCATGAGTAGAGCGACATAGAGTCGACTGAGTGACGACGCGCGCTTGACTCTGTAAGGTGGTATCGAGGTTGCGGGCTGGTGCTTGTAGAGCGATTAGTCGCGTTGCTAGTCACGAGAGGCGTCAAGAAGTCGGTGTCGAGTGGACCAAAGTGCTCCTGCAAGGAAGAAGTGAAAACAGGTACTGCCACTGGTTGTTCAAACGGCTCACTCAAATTTGCAGCGACATTGTACGAGGTAGAGTCCTCTGTGCACCCCAGGACTGTGTGTGTCAAAGGCTCCCGCGGAATCGCATCAAAAGAGAAATCCGAAGCCGCATCAGAGTCTTCCACTACGCGCGGACAGTTTTCATCGCCAGTTTCATCATCACATGCCTTCATCTTCCCTTTCGCAGACGCTATAGGCGGTGGGTAGTCCATGAGCGCGGTTCACACTTGTTTCGAGACTTGCAAGGTGAAAAGAAGATATTTGTATTTTGCAAAAGCTTTTCCAAAATGGGTACGTGTGATGGGTTGGAGATACGTGCAATATTGAGCTCGCAATGATGGAGACGCCTTTCTTGGAGCAAAAGATACCTGCTTTTATGCGCGTGGGCAAAAGTCAGTGTGAAAACCCATCGTCTGTACGATGCGCTTCTAGGGTAGAGGAGCCTCCATCATTCACAATGAGTGATACCTTGATGAGTGAACAGAGCAAGACGCCCAGAGAGCCTTGTACAAGGCACCGGCCCATCATTCACTGCCATCCTCCTAGCTCCTCTGATCTCATGCTGGGCCTTCTGCCTTCGCTTTTTCTTCTTCGTGTATCTTTCTTTTCTCTTCCTCAGGTGTTTACTGCCTCCTCGCGGATGTTTAATTAGCTGCCATACAGCTCACTTCCGGCATTTGCTTCTTTTTGTGCGATGTATCGGCCGTGGGAGTATCGACATGGCTTCCGAATCACATCGCTCGCGTGTCAGATGTCTCAGTTGTGCGTCGCCGCTTGGCGTACGAATGTTTGTTGTTTTGCGTCCTGTTATCCATCGCATTATTCACATGTAAGCCCAGTAGAAAAAGCTAAGGAGCATGGTAGCGGCGCCCATGTACGCGGATGGAAGAGGTGTGTGCCGAGTTCCGAGAGAGGTGGGGTCGAATACGGGCCTACGGTCATCGTTAGCTCACGTCCCTGACTTGGCGTAACTTCTGAATAAGGCAAGAATATCATCGGTACGCAATCTGCCGGCATATGACAGGCCGCTTGATTAGAGAGGGTGTGGACTTACTGCTTCAGGTGCAAACCCATGTCGTCGATGGCATCGCACTTTTGCCACTCGGTCTCGGGAATAGCTTCCATGGCTACTTCATTCTTGTCGTTGAAGCTTAATCGCTGCCCTTCGCTTGCGCCGAACGAGTGCCAGTCCGGGCTCTGTAGCTCTGAACCCTTGGAGACTAGATACTCTGCGGCGTGGGTGTTTGGGTCATAGCTTCGTATGAATGATGCCCAGTACGCCTGGACAAAGACACCAGCCGCTGAAGTGGCATTGTTCCAGATTGGCAGGAGTTCGCCAACGTGTGATGCAGTTCCAACATTCCATCTGTACTGCCAAGTCGGGTTCGTGTTGTTGAGGGCGTACGTATCAGTAATGTTGAGACTAGGACAGTTATAGCGGATATAACCATAGACATCGGCGGTCAATGATCTCCAGCGAGCGTCGCCAGTGGTACCAATGTTGCCATCCCAAAGCTGACGAATCGTGTCCCATTTTATACCGGGGTATTGATCAACTAGGAAGTCTTGAGCTCGAGGTTGAGACATGATACTCTTGGCCACAAAGTTGATCCCGTCGTTTGTGGCGGTACCAAATATAGTAGGCACGTTGACGAAGTGGCCAGCCTTCAATTCGTTGAAGGTGAAGTCTTTGATGAAATCGTAGTCCAATGTCGGGTTCCAGAAGTAAAGCGGTGGGTTCTTGCCGCCTGGGAAAGGCTTCAGGAGAGTACGTACAGCATCCTGGAAGATGACCGCATCCAAGCTGGCCATGCAATTGAGATCCGCGCATCCGGTTTGGTGTAGTAGCTCATCATACTGCCATTGGCTGTTCTCGACATCTCGCATGGACGGAAAGGCTGGAGATTCAGCAGCAGCGGCGTGGAAGAGGCCATCGTCTCGACCTCCGTATGCGGTAAGTTGGAAGACCACTGAACCCCCACCAGCACTTGCGCCTCCAATGGTAACGTGCCCCGGATCGCCTCCGAACTGCTGAATGTGCTTCTGGACCCATTCGAGTGCCTTCCTCTGATCTTTCAGTCCGTTGTTCAAACTCAGGCTCTGGTTTGCGACAATCTCTTTGCTAGCCAGAAATCCATAAGGCCCTACTCGATAGTTGAAGTTGACCACAACCATGCCGTCGTCGCCGGCATCGATCAAGTCTGCACCATTGTAATTCGCATTGCCGTTCATGTTGAAGCCGCCGCCTTGAATGAAGACATAAACCGGTAACATGCTTTTGTTGGTAGCTCTTTCTGGTGCAAAGACGTTGACGAACAGGCAGTCTTCCGAGTGTTTCCCCCCAAACTCGGCTGCCAGGCTGCTCTTGGTGCCGATACATAGGGGTCCAAACTAAACTGCTGTTAGCGTGGTGTCCACAAACCGTGAAAACGCTCTGTACCTTTGTAGCGTCAACAACATTGCGCTCATCTTCGGGATCTTGAGGTGCAGCGAATCGAAGTCCATCTGAACGTATTGGCCTGCGGGCATACCGCATACCAGCCCATCGTATGACACCATTGCCGATATCTTTCCCACGGTATTGCGCGTATCCAAGGTCGATGGTCTCCTTCAATGCGAGGGCCTGCTGAAAGAAAAGCGCTGCACAAAGCAGCAAACGAAACATTGTCGACAGCTGTGTGAGAAAGCGAGGAAAGAAAGGCAGCCGCAAAGTATCTTGACAATCTGTATCGTGTTCGGCCGCGCTGCCCCCTGGTTGTCGCCGAAGGGTCGTTCCGATACGAGCTATGCTATAGTGCGGCAGGGCTATGGTAGATCGTTGTTCTAGGGGAACGAGATAGAAAAACAAAGGAAACTTGACAATTGCATCATAGTTTCATAGCGGGAACTGACGTGCGAAGGTACACTATTTCCGAGGCGTTAGCATTCACGGGTGGCGTCTGTTGGCACTGTGTGAGTACATACCGTGGGAACAATGAGTGACATTAGCATCGTGCTGCTAGCAAACGTAAGCTCGAGGGCTGAGTCGATGGTAGGACAACTCAGGTCCACGTCACAGAAGGGCGGACTCCGCGGGTATAAAAGAGCCCGGGCGACTTTGCTGTTGGTCTTACCTAGGTACCTATCGCTGCATTGCTCAACACGTACCGCCGCCAGCCACAGCATCAAGCCAGGGTAATTCGAAATCCAGACCATTCGCATGCATGAGGATGCGACAGACACTGTGACTGGGTAGCCCTAGGCCTATGGAAGTGGATAGTGCTGATCAGGGTGATTTACCGACAGGTCGTAGCGCGCGCTGACGGTGTAATTACACCGAGACCATTGCTGCACGACTCCAGGGCTGTGTTTCGTTGGACACCTGAGGCCCGCGGAACTCAATCCGGATTGCGGACAGCGATAGGGGCAGTTGGGGAGATGCAGCATGATGGCTAGCGCTGGACGGGACGGCAGATGAGGATTGACGACAACAATGAGATCAGATCTACGATAGAAGAGCGGCTGGCGGGCGGCCAGCGCTGATGATCAGAAAGCCATGTGGGACCTGCAGCTAAATCCATGATGCGAAAGCTTGATCACTCCAAGGATGATAAGCGACATCCTTGCCGGCTTTCCCCCAAAGGGCAGGATCGGCCCTGCCAACGCCCGTCCAGCACGGCTGAAACCTGGGCACAGGAATGAAACCACCATGGCCTTGAACAACACACCCGCCCTCACGCAATTTTGTGGAAACATTCGTGTTCTGCGATCCAAGGTTTTCGCTCCTTGGCCTCATCATAGCAAGCAATGATGCTGCGCAAGCTCATGTGGGAATACTTGGCTTCATCGCGATGCCCGAATGGCGTTCAAAAGCCACGTCGAGACGTGCTTGGCTGATCCTCTTGCAACTTTTGTGAATGCCTAGGTACGCCCCACTGCATCGTCAGCTGTCATCTCAATTGTACTGTGTGTTGTTCAAGCACTCGCCCGGCTGGAAACCTGCTTGTCCTAAACACATGGCGCTCCTCAGGGACCAAGTGCGTCATTAGGGTTCATTCCAACGGTCGTGCATCAATAAATTCCATCCACGGTTCAGCCACAGAGAACCAAGCAGCAACTCTTCAATTTCGGAAACCGAAAGTCTACCGAGCACGGATGAACCCCGCATCGAAGCACCAGAGCGTTGTTAGATTCGGTGATACGGGGGAGTGCACTGCCGCGGAACTCCAAGCTATCCGAACGCCATGCAAGCCACCAAACCAGACTTCTAGAACTTCCACCACTCTTAAACCTCACCATGTATACCTCAGCATTCTACTACAGCACATAAAGGACGTTCCGCACATGTTCCGCAGTTGCAAGATGCGGAAGTCGGAGCTTACTCCAGGATGTCGTACGAGGCAGCGGTAATCTACCTAGGTATGCTGTGCTTCCGATATCGCTTCTTAAATGTACGAACCGCGAATTGTATGTAGTGTAGTTGATCTCAAATGCATTTGAAATGGTGTCTCTCTTATAATGGCATTGCTACTGTCCAACGCGCTTGCCCTCTTCTAGTGTACAATCGACACTTCTTGCGGGTTATCATATTTCGAAAGATACTCGAATGCATCTTCGAAATAATAATAGAAGCATTGGCACTCACTCAATCACTCCTAGGAGATATCCGCTCATTCACTACCACTCCATACAACGCGGAATTGTTTAGGGTAGGCGCAGGCACGAGCTCTCACATGTATGCATTTCAATAGTCATCAGATCTGAAGAACGACTAGATATATGCATCATGGCATTCGTCTTTACATGCCTTCCACTCTCTACAACAGTGTAAACACAATCGAACATCTTTTTCACCCTCCCTAGTATATACATATCCGCATCATCCATAGTCCCTCCACTCAACCCCTCGACTCCCCCATTCATTTCTTCTCTGAGCACCCCCTCAAAAATCAGTAACCCTCCCATTATAACTCCAATCCCCCGTCTTCCCCGTACTCCCCCACCTAAGCGGCTCATTCTTCGGTCCGCCCACCTCCCCCGTCTTGGGATTGACATCGCCCTCAAACTCCGGCGGCGCCCCTCTCCTCATATTAGGATGGAACTCCTCTCCCTTCTTGATCTGCTTGCCATTCTCAAATCTAATCTCCGGCCCTTCACTACTAGCACTATCAGGCGACTGGTTTATCTGGGGTCGTGACGCCGAGGCTGGAGACGCGGGTGTAGGAGACGAGTCCGGCGACTGGTTGATGCGCATGCGGATGTTGGGGGTCGAGGTAGGTGTTTCGATGTCCTTTGGGGTGCTGAAGGCGCCGGTGCTTTGCTTTTGTAGCTTTTCGAAGATTTCTTGGTCTTCTTTGGGGAGGCGTGGTGGTGCTGGGCCCGAGCCAAAAGGTGCTTGCGCGTGTCGGGTGGAGATGCTGAAGGTGCGGCGGGAGAGCTGGCGCGGGAGGCGCGTGATGGTGCGCATTGTGGCGGTCATGATGGAGAGTTGCACAGGTATGAGGTCTGTTGTAAGCTGCGTGGCTTGCACGAGGTATGTTGCGTGTGAAGTGAAAGTTCTTTGTGAGTCGAAGGCGAAGACGACTTTCTTGACCGTCGATCTGGGCCGCGGTTCGTACGGAGCCAATCGGAGCCTTGCAGTGGCAACGGAGGTCGCATTTTCGTAGATCGTGGACAAGCATCACAGCATTCTACATATCTGAATGTACAGTTCCGAATTATTATCGTGATATGGAATGACCCCAGTACATGTTGCGTGTAACTTTTCAGAAAGCTATGGTCCCTTCTGGGTGAAAACGCCCACCATTCCTGCATCCAAACGCCAGGCTATCGTACAAACTGCAGCACAACCTCTACGAAATGTATCCATTCGTCTCGCCCAGTGCTCGCGCACTCCTTCCTGCATCCAAGAACAGGCTTTGACATTCCTCCACATCGTCCACCTCGATTTGCTTGTTCTCCCGTCCATTGACCTCGGCCAGTACACTTGCGGGTGCGAGAAGTTGCAGCGCGTATCGCAGACTGATCTTCTCACCAAGAGCGCTGACCTTCTCCTTTGCAGGCGCAGAGATGTTGAGCTTCTCAGTCGTGACGCGCGTGGAAATAATTGACTTGATCTCTGCGGGTCCGTATGGGTGTGTAGGGATGATGAGCAGACGCGCGAGGAGATCGGTCGGGATGCCGTGCGCTGAAGGAGGAAGGTTCTCTCCGCCACGAATATGTGTGTTGCCGCGGTTCGATGCGAGGATGACAAGAGGTGACAGAGGGGATTCCAGAGCGCGGTTCAGGAATGTGAATGCCTCGAGATCGAGCATGTGAACCTGCGCATGTCAGTTAAGTCCATAGGCCAAGAAGTAGTATCTTACCTCGTCAATGAAGAGCACACCGGGTACTAGGTCTGCGATGCCCTGGTCGATGTACCTGTTAACGACCTTGTTGATCTCCAACCGTAACTTCTCAGTGATCTCAGTCTTCTTAGGCTTCATCAACTGGCCCATCATGCTCATAATGTCCTGACCACCTTGCGGCCGCGCGTTGGCAACATCTAGGTCGTGCAGGGTAACATCCTGAACAATCTCCTTCTTCTTGTGCACATCGCCCTTGGGTATCGGGACGTATTCCTCCGCCTCTAGGTCGAACTCAGTCGCGTAAGCGTCTGATCGCCCGACGCGCTTTACGGCTCCCGTATTGGCTTCAATGTAGATGACATCGCCCAGACGGACGCGCTCCTTCTGTATGGCCTCGTATATGGATGGGTCGAGTCGCAGCTTCTTTGTGCCCTTGGCGGACTTGAGGTTGATGAGGAGGTGCGAGATGGTGCGGCCATAGCCTCCGAGCGGGTTTTCGGCTTCTTCAGGCGTGAGCTCTGTCACTTCACCTTCGTAGACCTCCTTGGTTTCCTTCACGCGAAGACCTGTTCCAATGTATCAATACAGTCCGTGCCCATAGATTAAGTGAATGCGCACCTATCGCTCTCCTGAAGTTCTCCATGAGCGCTTCGGTCTTCTTGACCTCCGCAGAGTAGATCTCGCTGCCAACAATCGGACAGAATGGCACCTTGGTACCCAGCTCCTGGCTCACAGCCAACGCCAATGCGGTTTTACCGGTTCCGGGACCACCTGCGAGTAGCACGGCTCTGCCTGACATCTTCTTCGCCTTGACGAGGTCGACGACTAGTCCACATGCCTGCGCCGGTTAGTACCTAGGCTGAACGAGAGTGTGGACGGCTCAAGTACCTCTCGTGCTGCAGCTTGGCCGACGAAGCCGCCAGCTGAGGGAGTTGCGCGTCCATCGCTTGATAGACCTAGTCCTTTGATATGGGAATGCGCTGCGGTTCTGGATGAGCGATCGTGCGTGCTCTTGACTTCGCTGACTGGCACAGTCGTCATTTTAGTGTCGCAAGCGCTCAATTCTACGGAACGGCAAAGATTCGCAATCGGGGTGTCGATGGCAGTCGCGTGGGAAGGGTGGTGATGGTATGTACAGCTGGGCGCGCGTTGTTTGGGGTGTCTCGAGCTCGAAGTTTTGGGAGGGATGGCAGTTCGCGAAAGGCACAGCTTAGCGCGTCGACCGCAGCACCGGCGCTCTATGTCAGTCACCCGCTGGAATCCCCACCCTCCGCCTCCACTCACAGCAGCAGGGCATTCACCCTCCCGGGCCTGGCTTAGGGTCGCCCACCATACTGCCTACGTCCTTGCTATCGCTCCACCCTCTGCACTGCACACTACCGTTCACCAGCATTTTCGCCCATCGCGCCTTCCTCTATGGCGTCGCTGTCTATTCCCGTCACACGACGTCGCAGTCAGGGTCACTGCCTGAGCGAGGCGCCCAACACAGCGTACAGTATCTGGTCTCCCTCTTACAGCGTCTGAGCCTGACAGTCCTACAGTCCATCGTCCTCGGAAGCATACCCAGCCATGTGCGCGCCCTGAGTACCGCCGTCCCCATGGTCACCCCTCGGAACTTCCTCCCCCGAACATCCAGTGGCCGCTCCTTCACCCTGAGGGAATACGGGCTATCTTGAAAACACACATGGTTATGCGAAAGAACTATACAGGCGAAGCGACACACGATAGCGGTTATCCCTTTCGGCCAGCTCCACAACTGCGCCGCATCCACTGGCATCCACTCTTGAGGCCTGCCGAGCCAAGACCACAAGCACCGTGGAACATCACACGCCGAGGCACAACGCACATTTGGCAATATTATCTGGATTTTGTTCTGGGCTGCCTACCCGAGCAGCATACTCATACAGCAAAAGGATACTCGCATGTCCTCCATTTTCAGTCGAACCTCCACGCCAAGTGCCACTTGGGGCTTACAGCCCATGCCTTTGACCAAAGGGACCTAAAAAGACAAACCTCGTCACTCGTAATCCGTTGTCGGCATTGGTACCATGATCATGGCACCTCTAGGGTGTGGTCGGTGTGCAAGAGAATACTATACAATCGATGTGGGTTGTTGTGTATGGGTTTGGTGGTGAGTTGACGCCCTCCGACTTGAGCAAGCACTGACATTGCCTCAGTTCTCCCTGCCATCAGACGCCCACGTTCCATCATGTCAAGAAGAAGAAGAGATTGGACCAATCATCGAATCAGGGCGTCACACGAGAACAGCAGAACTTATTGACGGAAGATCACTCCTCCTCGCTCTCGGAGCCGCTATCGTCATCATCGCTGGATGCATCATGCACTGCAGAGGTTAGTGGGTGATTGAAACGTGCACGTACTGACGACTCACCAGGTGGAGACTGGCTGGACCCCGACGCACCGCCCTGGAACGATTGCAGCTTCTCCTGGATCTTGCGCATGTTGTCTTCTTGCTCGCTCTTGCCCATAGGCTTGTTCTTCTTCGGTCGGGCCGCCGCCTGCTTCGAGACCTGCCTCGGCGGTTCAAAGTCATCATCGACCACGGCACCTCCCTTAGAGCTACGCAGAGACTTGATAAACCTCAACAACTCGCGGAGAGTATCATCGTTGATCTCGTCCATATCGAGCTCCATCTCGTCATCGTTCACGGTAGCAAGGTGCGGGCAGCCGTTTCTGATGATCTGGACCGCCTTACGCATGTCGAGATCGCCGAGCGTACTGATACCCTCTGAAATCTCCTGCTTCTGGGCGAAACTCAGAGGCGCAGGAGCCTTTGCCTTCTTGACCGGAGCAGTCTTGATGGGCTTGGCAGGAGGCGGCACCGCAAGGGGAAGACTCTTCCTCTTTGCTGGTGGCGCCACAGCCTTCTTCTTCTTGCCAGGCAACTTGGGGGAAGTACGCTTGCCACCCGTCTGTTGTTGCAGAAGTTGTTGCGCTGTGGCGTTTAGTTGAGCAATCTGCTGTTGGATTGCAAGGAACTGCGCCTGAGCAGGGTCTATCTCCTCCTCCTCTTCGTCTTCCTCATCTTCCTCGTCGGAATAGAGGTCGCTTGGCGAGTGTTCAGGAGCAGGCGCATGCTGAGCAAGCCAGTCCGCCTTCTCCTTCCACAAGCTCTCGAAGAGATCTTCCATCTTGTGTCCCATCTGGTTGACAGCATCACCTTCAGGATTGAACTTGTAGCAGTTGTGGAAAACCAACTGCGCATCCGCGTAGAAGTCCTTGGCACTCTGGTAGACACCGTTCTTCAGGTTCTTCTCGATCGTTCCAAAGTCCATCGGCTTCTTGATGATCTTGAGATAGGACGGGATGTTGAGTGCCACGGGATCTACGGGAGCGATGAATGGGTAAGTGACCGCACTGTACTTTGGCTTCATGAGCTCGGTAAGGACAGACTCGCAGAACTTGAGTTCTTGTTGGAACTTCTTCCGTCTCGGCTTTGCGTTGGTGTACGGCAAATCCTTGGACGGCCTGTGAATCTCTCGCTTTGGCCTACCGTCAGTGGTGGACGAATCACGTCGAATCAGTGGAGTACCGTCCTGCTGAAGAGGCCAGGCAGCCTGAGGCGACGTCGCAGCCGGAGTAGCGACAGCAGGAGACTTGACGTTGGGCGGCGCAACGCGAGACTCACGTCGAGCCTTTTGCGAAGTGCTCACTGACGGCTTCTTGGCCTTTGCTGGCTTTGGAGGCTCTTCCGCAGCAGCGCCTCGGGGCATCTTACCCATGCCTTTCAAGAAGTAGGCGCGAAGGTTGTAACCTGCTTGCGTTACAGGATGCTCCTTGTTGTTGAAAAGCTCGCTGTTCGTGATCATCTGATCGAGATCTGCCATGAAATCCCTTACGTAAGTGTACTTTTTGTCCTTCAGCTTGTGCTCCATAGTCGTCAAGTCCATTGGGTTCTTGACAATGTCGGGATAAGTCGGGATATTGAGGGCTACAGGGTCAACAGGATCCTTGAACGCTAATGAAACCTTGATCTTCTTCGTGTTCCTTATCCGCTCAAGAAGAAACCTGTTCTGTGCATCCGTCATCGGAGTGGTGGGCCACTCTTCCCAATCAACTGCCTTGTGGACGCCTGATGCTTCTTGCGCAGAGTCAGATGTCGGGCCCGGGGTACCTCCATTTACGCTGGCCTGTTCTGCCTGATTCGGCAACTCCGGCAGCTTGAAGTCGGCTTGGGCCTCCTCTTCAGTCTTGGTGCGCTTCGCGTCGGGAATGTCGTCATCATCATCCTCGCGGGGGCGCACCTTGCCAGAGGACGGGGCATCCTCCATTTCCCGGTCCACGATCGCCGGTGATTGAACGGCAGCGGATTGGGGTGCAGTGGCTGCATCGCCATCGGTCTTGATCGTGAGGTCGTGCATTGGCTTGGTAGGCGCTCCGGAGGACTCTGAGGGTTTCGACTCCTCAGGCGCATCAGCGGTGGTGTCCATACTATCTTCAGTCGGGCCTTCCTCTTTGTCGGCTAACTGGGTTTCGGGCACTTCCTGAGTGCTAGCACCTGTTGCCTGGGTGGCTGAAGAGAGCTCCTCTGCAGTCGCTGGCTCATCGCGTACGTCTGAAGTCGGCGCCTCGACAGCGTTCGCGACCGTGGCACCAACATCCGAGTCGCCGAACAGCGAATTATTGTCCTGGTTCTCAGGCATATATTGTGCGACACCATCGATTCCGGCGGATACGTTGGTAGTGGGCTCAACTGCAGGCGCTGACTCGTCCATGTCTACGTGATTTCCGTTGGTAGTGGGTTTTGATTGCGCGGTGGTATCGTCGATGGTGGTGGTCTTGGAGTCGGGTTCGTCGAAGAGTACATCGTGAACACTACTAGGTATTAGTAGGTTGCGCGAGGTGAGATAGGAGGGGCGGGTGAAGGTGGAGGGAAGAGCGACTTACCCGTTTGCCTCGGTATCGACTGCCATTGCGTCTGCCGGCGCAAAAGCGCTCGCCTTAAGGTCCAGGGAGGATTTGTCGACAGTAGGTGATGTCATTACTGCCATGGGGCCATGAAAGTCAAAGACGGGTTTGCGCGCGGCTGACAGAGTATATGGTGTGTTTGATGTTGTTGCTAATCTTGGGTCGTTAGCGACTTCCGCTTTAGGCACACGCGACTGCGCAAGTATACGCGTGTTAATGACGGACACGGCAGTGAGGGAGGGATAGGCGCGTTTGCGGTAAAGGTGGGGTCGCAAAGTGAGGCTAGCGTCGGTGCAGTGACGCGAGGGATGAGGAGGGGCAGCTGCGGACTATATGTTGCAGAGGCTGAAACGCACGTGACTACGTACCAGATGGTGGCGGCGGCGAGGTAGCAGGGCGGCGACGGCAGTCGGTGATGAGTCAGACTTTATAGCGCCGACGCGTTTGTTGTGGTGGGCCAAGCGCGTAGAGGAAGAGGCAATAACGGCGTGGTGCAGCTGTGCGCCCTCTCAAGATGTGCGACAACAACACAAACGTTGGTGATGTGGTGCACGGATGGTGACGGCGGCTTGGGAGCGCAGACGGCGGGCGGTGAGGGCTAGTGTGCAGCGGATGCGGATGCAGACAGACGGGGATGGATGCGCGTATTAATTATGTCGGGTGTAGTGGGTGCAGCCGCCTAGACTTGGGACGCGATATACTGGGCCTTGGGCGGGTGATGAGGTGTGGCGGGGGAGTGCGAGTAAGGTTGGGTGATCGGGAGCAGGCGCGTATTGATTGGAGGCAGATCAGGAAAATGGACTCAAGAACGTCGAAGACAGACGCGAGAGGAGAGGCATTGGGGTTAAGTAGCCCGGCCCTTCCATCTCCGAGCCAAGCCTCAGAGCAGCCCCTGAAGTGCACTAGCCTCGAAGGGAACGTGTCCTTGCCGACTTCTTGACCATGCGCGTCCGCAACGCCGCGTCTGGACATTATCTACCTGTCTTGTTGCATTCTTGAGATGCACTTGGACTTTCACGCTTCCTGGCCGATGAATCTGCTGTTGCAACGGGCGCCGTGAACGCGTCGCCGCGAGCTTGACAGCTCTACGCCATGATCCCTGTCCGCGAGGC